TTTTTCGACATTAACGGAATATCGACAAAGTTTTGCGCACATTTGCAATGGAAACGCAGCTACTAAGCCTGTCTGTCTGACAGCTGAAGTTTAGGATGATGATGCAGATTAATAATCCCAAAAACAGCAGCACATCCAAGCAGAATGGTTGAAAATGGTGAGCTGAGCCTGACCATCAGAGAGCTGAGCAGAGACAAGTGGACCAAAAGTCCTCTAAAACCATGGGGCACTGGTAAAGTCCCACAGAAAGCCAGTACTGAAGCAGGTTCTACAAACTGCTGAGTCATCAGTTGGAATCTGTTGTGTGTTTTTGGTACTCGAGGTTCCGTTTGTTAAACTTGTGTTTGTGTGCAGGTATGAGTGAGCGTCAGGGGACAGACGTTGATGCTGGGAAGGTTCTGAACACCTTCAGGAAGCTGGGTTACAGAACCTCACTGCACAACGACCAGACTGTGGKWGAAATGAAAAACCTGATGAGACAAGGTAATCAAAGGACCTTATTTCATTCCTTTTAACTCTGAAAAGTACAGTATTCCTCTGTATCCTGTAATTGTATAATAGCACACTAAACCCAGCCTTCTCTTCTTTTACTGCACAAACTGAAATTAATGCAGTTATTCTTGTTTGTGTTTTTAGTTGTTTTGGTGTTGTTGTTAAACACAATRGTTCTTGACAAACTTTTAAAATTCTTCAGAAAATATTTTCTATCTTTAAGACTTGTTTCTTCCTGTCAAAAACTACCATAAATTAAACCAAACGTCTGTGGAAAAAAATTAACTCTTTTGGGGAGTTTTCATCTTTATCATAGCTGGGTTTACTGGTTTAAACCTCACTTTACTGCCTGATAACCCATCTCTGTTGTCTCTGTGTGTCCAGTGTCTCAGGAGGACCACAGCKAGAACGCYTCCTTTGTGTGTGTTCTGCTGAGTCATGGAGACGAGGGGGTCATTTARGGCACTGATAACMWTGAAAAGATCGACACTCTGATAAATAACTTCAAAGGACACAAGTGTCTGAGTTTGGTGGGGAAGCCAAAGCTCTTCTTCATACAGGTTAGTTTTTCACTTTGGTCRTCTCACTRCGCTGTACCTTCAGTAACAATTCAAATTAAAACATGTCTGATGTCAGGCGTGTCGTGGTTCATCCCTGGATGGTGGTGTYATGATRGAGACCGATGCTGTGGAAGAGCAAGCAACAGAGAYGATTCCRGTGGAGGCAGACTTCCTGTATGCYTACTCCACAGCTCCGGGTAACCAGCAACACGTCACTGTTTCCTGTTCATGCCTCTGCCCACTCTCTGAACCTGAACTCAATCCACCTGCAGGCTTTTACTCCTGGAGGAACYCAAGCAACGGCACCTGGTTCATTCAGTCTCTGTGTGCAATGTTGGAAAGGTTCAAGGGAGAACTGGATCTGATGCAGATCCTGACTCGGGTCAACCACATGGTGTCGCGCCAATTTGAGTCTTCATCCAACTRGCCTGYGTTTAGTGGGAAAAAGCAAATCCCTTGTATTGTCTCAATGTTGACAAAAGACCTTTATTTTCCAAAGTAAAACCATTTTACACTTAATTCATTTAGAAACCAAACACTTACAACAAGGGAGCATTGACTAGGGCTGGGTGATTTGGATAAAAACTGAATCAGGACATACACCTTTCAATAATCYTTGATTAGTTTTTTATTTTACCTATTTGGTGATGTGATCTTTGTTCTCTTTTATCCACAACTTCCTCTTGAGCTGTTGCATCATTTTCRCCTCCATGTCATTCTGTTTTATTTTGAAGCAGTTATGGTGGTTAAACATGGAACTACTACGTTACTCAACAGGTTGTTGCAGCTCACCAGAAATGAGTTAGTTGGATGATGCAACCAATCGTACCCCTAATTTACACTAGATGTGGCTCCGCTCTGCTCCGATGTGGTCCAATCTCCACAGCAAATACGCAACCTTTATAACCAGTAGCTGCGTTTCCATTGACCATGAAAAATTTGCAAATTAGAAATTGGAAAATAAATTTGCTCAATGGAAACACATCAATTTCGAGGAAAAAAATGTGTTTTTCGACAAAATGTTTTTGCACTAGGATGAGGTGGTTTTTCGGTCATATCGAAATTGGTGTTTTTCGCAAAACTGCAATGGAAACACTTTTGTCGCATCACGGGAGTCACGTGATCAACAACCGGCTGTTTCTACTGGCGAAAAATACAACGAAGAAAAAGATAACAGGAAGTAGAAGTAGTAGTAATATCACAGAAGTAGTAAAAAATAGTAAACTCACCGACTACAATTTCCCAAAAACACAGCATACGTAGCCYCTCCCAAGTAGGGACTTGWCTCTGGAAAGCCTCGATAAAAGACGCCAACGTCTCCTCTGATGATGAGCGCTAGTGTCGTGGTAGCAACATGCTATGTGTTTACATCCATCGCCGCCATGTTTGTAATGACTTATCGCYAAAACAAACGTATTCTCGCGTGACTTTAATAACATTTCTTACTTAATAGAAACACAGCAGTTGTGAAACTGTGTTTTCGACATTAACAGAATATCGACAAAGTTTTGTGCACATTTGCAATGGAAACGCAGCTTATGACACTATTTACACTGCAGGGTGGCGGTGAGTGGAAGGCAATCTGCTAAAATTAGATTTGATCCTATTTGTTCTGAACGCTGCTCCGGAGTCAATCTACAAAAACCACATTGCACCAACAGCAAAAGGAACAAACACAACATTATATATATGTACATATACATATGTATTTTCAAAATAAGACACCATAAGTTGGACTAATTTTGTCAAAATCCCAGCTACATTAATTAATATATGGATATATTTATACACAAATGCTGTCAGAATGTATGGTTCTGTTTGGGAAGCAGATAGAAACGTAGCATGAAGCATATGTGTACACACAAGATACACATGGATTTTATTTTAAAATCAGAAGTTTCAGAAAGACGACAGCGATACAGTTTCAACCATAGATACTGAATCAAAAGCTTTTATATCAATGTTTTCAGCTGTGTTTGGAGTTCATCTTTCACAGAATTAGTTTTTGCTCTGACTTCCACATTTATCACTGGATTTATTGCGTGATCTCCTTCCTGCACGCCCTCCCTCCTCTGTGTGTCGACCGGAGCTAAGCAGAGGCCATATAAACTGAGGTGCAAATAAATAGCTGCGAACTGCGCACCGCAGCGCAGCAGAGTTAAATCTAGTGTGAATCTGGGGTTAGTTAGCTGGGCTGAGAGAGGTCAAGAAGCTAAATCTTTCCTCTGCCTACATCCCCCAGAATGCCATGCAGTTCAGGATCAGAGTTCAGTGAAACTATCAACATTCAATCAGATGTATTTTCTTCTGATATTGATCAAGTGTCTATAGCAATATACTGTCCATTGTTGTTGTTTCATCATTGCCCAGCCCTAGCTTTAACTGTCCTGCTAGTCCAAACAGAGCTTAAATGGCACAACCAGCTTTTAAAAGATATGTGAAAATTAAAGATAATTAGAGATGTATTTTTTTATTATGTATTTAAAATTTGTACTAAAGTTCTGATGGAAATAAACAAATTGATGTATTGGAACAGTTTCCTGGAAAAAGCTTTTTTTTATTAACGTTATACAGACAACTTTAAAAAATTAAACATTCACCAAACAGAAATATTTATTTCATGTTTATACTTCTGACGATCTAAGATTTATTTCTCCACACCACTGTGTCAAACTCACTTTCATGYGAGCCAAAATGAGTTAACCTCTGTTAATATTCATTGTAAAAACATACACTTTTTATCCATCCGTCTATTTTCTTCAGCTTATCCGGGGTCGGGTTATGGGGGCAGCAGCCTAAGCAGAGAGACCCAGACTTCCCTCTCCCCAGCCATTTGGGCCAGCACGTCTGGGGGAATCCCAAGGTGTTCCCAGGCCATCTGAGAAACATAGTCCCTCCATCGTGTCCTGGGTCTTCCTCTGGGTCTCCTCGCAGTGGGACGTCACCTCACCAGGGAGGCATCCAGGAGGCATCCTAACCAGATGAACCACCTCAACATCCAGAGCTTCAAGGAACTCCAGGAGAATCTCATCCACCCCCGGCGCCCTGCCACCAAGGAGCTTTTTAACCACCTCGGTGACCTCTGCACCAGAGATTGGAGAGTCCGACCCAGGGTCCTCAGGCTCTGCTTCCTCATGGAAAGACGTGTCGGTAGGATTGAGGAGGTCCTCGAAGTATTCTGCTCACCAACCCACAACATCCTGAGTTGAGGTCAGCAGCACACCAACCCCAACATAAACAGTGTTTGTGGCGAACTGCTTTCCCCACCTGAGATGCCAGATGGTGGACCAGAATCGCCTCAAAGCTGTACGTAAGTCTTTTTCCATGGCCTCTCAGAACTCCTCCCACGCCAGAGTTTTTGCCTCAGCAAACACCCGAGCCGCAATCTGCTTGGACTGCCYATACCTATCGGCTGCGTCCAGAGTCCCACAGGCCAAAAAGACCCGATAGGACTCCTTCTTCAGCCTGACAGCATCCCTCACCGCCAGTGTCCACCAACGGGTTCGAGGGTTGCCACCACTTCCAGCACTTCTGGGAGGACTCCAAGTTGTTCCCAGGCCAGCCGAGAGACATAGTCTGTCCAGTATGTTCTGGGTCTTCCCCGGGGTCTCCTCCCAGTCAGACATGCCTGAAGCACCCCCCCAGGGAGGCATTCATGAAGCATCCTTCTCAAAWGAACCACCTCAACTGGCTGTAGTGTCTCCTGGATTACTGAACTTCTCACTCTCCCTTCCTAGAATCCATCCATCCTATGGAGAAAACTCTTTTTGACCACTTGTAACTAAAAATTTGTTCTTTCAGTCACTTCCCAGTGTTTGTGATCATAGAGGGTAGGAACGTAGTCTTATCGGTAAAAAGAGTTTCACCTTACAATCCACAAAACATCGATCCGTCTATCAATCTCACGCTCCATTCTTCCCTCACTCATGAACAAGACCCCAAGATACTTGAACTCCTCCATTTGAGGCAGAACTTCATCCCCAACCCAGAGAGAGCAATCCACCCTTTTCCGACTGAGGACCATGGACTCAGATTTGGAGGTGCTGATCCTCATCACAGCCGCTTCACACTCAGCTGCAAACTGCTGCAGTGAGAGCTGAAGATCCTGGAGCGATGATGCCAACAGAACCACATAATCTGCAAACAGCAGAGATGAAATCCAGAGGCCATTGAACCAGACTCCATCCGCCCCCTGGCTGCATCGAGAAATTCTGTCCATGAAAGTTATGAACAYAATRGGTGACAACGGGCAGCCCTGTTGGAGTCCAACTCCCACTCTGAAGGGGTCCAACTTACTACCGGCAATMRYAACCAAACTCRTGCACRGCTTGTATAGAGACTGWATGGCCCGTAACAACGGACCCACAATCCCATACTCACGTAGCACCCCCACAGTGTACCTTGAGGAACACGGTTGAATGCCTTCTCCAAGTCCACAAAACACATGTAGACTGGATTAGCAAATACCCATGACCCCTCGAGGATCCTAGTGAGGATAGAGAGTTGGCCCAGTGTTCCACGGCCAAGYCGAAACCTGCATTGTTCCTCCAGAATCTGAGGTTCAACCGTCGATCAGGCTCCAGTACACCAGAAAAGACCTTACCGGTGAGGCTAAGGAGAGTGATGCCCCTGTAATGGAAAACCTTTGTATTTTCTTCTTTTTACWGTTGCTGCTTTTTAAAACACAAAAAGAAAAATATGTCCAAAACTAAACTGAGGCATGCACAGCTGACAGTTTACAGCCGACTTGGTAATTACTGGACATGAAATTAATCACAGATCCTATGTAAAACACAAACACCACAGAAGATTCTTCACAAGAGGAACTGAAAACTCTGGAGCAGCAGTGACTTTTTTTTTTTTTTTACAAAACAAAGACATTCACATTCAACCTGAAGACATTTCCATTTGTCATACTCTACCTGCTAAATCCCAAAAACTCAAACCATCCATTGTTCTCAGGTTTATTAGTAGGAAAGCATGAAATAATTTAATTATGCAAGCTAAAAAACTGAAGGGAAAAAATGTTTACATAAATGAACATTTAATGAACAAAAAAAAAAAAAAAAGGAAAAATTGCCCGTCAAGCAAGATTGCTAAAAACCAGAAAAAAAAAATAACAGCGACTTGGACAAGAAACAGAAACATTTGGACCAGAGTAAGGGAGGGATCACAGGCTAAAATGGTAAAGGAGTTGGAAGACTTGGAAGGATTTAGATGAGGTCAGGAGGGAACAAATAAACCAAAATAAAATTAAAAGACGAAAACTATTTTGTACAAAATGAATAAATAAAAAATACAGACAAATGGATAAATACACTAAAATATGAACACATACTCAGAATTTAAAATATGAACTGTATCATAAGAACAGAAACAAGAAAAGAGGTGGTGGGGTGTCTTTTCTTGTTGATAAGGAAATAAAATGTAAAATAATAAATAAAATGTCAATAAGTATAAATAGTAAATGGACTGAACTTATAGAGCGCTTTATCAAGTGTAGAATCAATAAGTATAGATGGTGTTATGGAAATAATTACAGTTGAAATAATAAATAAGAATTAAAAACAATAAGTTGTGTATATCGATCACTAGACTTAAGTATAGATGTATTCACAGATCAAATTATGGAACTACTGGAAAGGACTTTTAACAAAACAGTTTTCTTGTGTGGAGACTATTCATCTGGATAATAAAACAGAATCCAATATTGGTACTTTCATAAATTCAATGTATAGTTTAAATCTTTATCCACTTATGTCAAAACCTACAAGAATCACAACTCAGTGCTACAATAATTGATATAATATTTTCACAAATATAACAAACACAGAGGTAATGGGTGGCAGTTTGATTACTGATTTAAGTGATCACTTGCTGGTTTTCACTATTTATAAAAAAGATCAATACAGCACAAAAGTAGTTACAACAAAAAAAATTAACACATCAAGAAAAGTGTTGGACAAATTAAA